CTGTGGAGACAGGAACTTTGTCCTTTGGGAGGCAAAGGGGGGAAAATGTATGAGAGTTAGTTTTACCAACGCTTTATTTGGGTGTGAAGCATGGGTGATGAATGTTGCAGCGAGGAGAAGGCTGGAGGCAGTGGAGATGTCATGTCTGAGGGCAATGTGTGGTGTGAATATAATGCAGAGAATTCGTAGTTTGGAAGTTAGGAGGAGGTGCGGGATTACCAAAACTGTTGTCCAGAGGGCTGAGGAAGGGTTGTTGAGGTGGTTCGGACATGTAGAGAGAATGGAGCGAAACAGAATAACTTCAAGAGTGTATCAGTCTGTAGTGGAAGGAAGGCGGGGTAGGGGTCGGCTAGGAAGGGTTGGAGGGAGGGGGTAAAGGAGGTTTTGTGTGCGAGGGGCTTGGACTTCCAGCAGGCATGCGTGAGCGTGTTTGATAGGAGTGAATGGAGACAAATGGTTTTTAATACTTGACGTGCTGTTGGAGTGTGAGCAAAGTAACATTTATGAAGGGATTCAGGGAAACCGCAGGCCGGACTTGAGTCCTGGAGATGGGAAGTACAGTGCCTGCACTCTGAAGGAGGGGTGTTAATGTTGCAGTTTAAAAACTGTAGTGTAAAGCACCCTTCTGGCAAGACAGTGATGGAGTGTATGATGGTGAAAGTTTTTCTTTTTCGGGCCACCTGCCTTGGTGGGAATCGGCCAGTGTGATAATAAAAAAAAAATATGTATAAGAACAAAAAACATAAGAACATAAGAACATAAGAAAGGAGGAACACTGCAACAGGCCTGTTGGCCCATACTAGGCAGGTCCTTTACAATTCATCCCACTAACAAACATTTGACCAACCCAATTTTCAATGCTAACCAAGAAATAAGCTCTGATGTGCAAGTCCCACTCAAATCCAACCATCCCACTCATGTATTTATCCAACCTAAATTTGAAACTACCAAAGTCCTAGCCTCAATAACCCAAACTAGGTAGACTGTTCCACTCATCTACTACCTATTTCCAAACCAATACTTTCCTATGTCCTTTCTAAATCTAAACTTATCTAATTTAAATCATTACTGCGGGTTCTCTCTTGGAGAGATATCCTCAAGACCTTGTTAATATCCCCTTTATTAATACCTATCTTCCACTTATTACACTTCGATCAGGTCTCCCTCATTCTTCGTCTAACAAGTGAATGTAACTTAAGAGTCTTCAATCTTTCTTCATAAGGAAGATTTCTAATGCTATGTATTAATTTAGTCATCCTACGCTGAATGTTTTCTAACGAATTTATGTCAATTCTGTAATAGGAGACCAGAATTGAGCTGCATAATCTAGGTGAGGCCTTACTAATGATGTATAAAGCTGCAGTATGACCTCTGGACTTCTGTTGCTTACACTTCTTGATATAAATCCAGTAATCTATTTGCCTTATTACGTACGCTTAGGCATTGCTGTCTTGGTTTAAGGTTGCTGCTTACCATAACCCCCAAGTCCTTTTCGCAATCTGTATGGTTAAGTTCTACATTATTTAACTTATAAGTGCTAGGGTTATGGACACTCCCGAGCTTCAGAACCTTGCATTTACCTACATTGAACTGCATCTGCCACTTTTCTGACCAAGAGTAGAGTTTGTCTAAGTCCTCCTGAAGTTCCCTAACATCTACGTTTGAATCAATTATCCTACCTATCTTCGTGTCATCGGCGAATTTGCTCATATCACTAGTAATTCCTTCATCAAGATCATTTGATATATATTATAAACAACAACGGGCCCAAGACTGATCCCTGTGGAAACCACTTGTTACTGATCCCCACTCGGATTTAACCCCATTTATGGACACTCTTTGCTTCCTGTCTGTGAGCCATGATTCGATCCACGAGAGCACTTTTCCCCCAATGCCATGAGCTGCTACTTTCTTCAACAGTCTTTGGTGCGGAACTCTATCAAATGCCTTACTAAAATCTAAGTAAATAATATCAAATTCTTTATCGTGGTCAACAGCCTCAAAAGCTTTACTGAAGAAAGTTAATAAATTAGTTAGACAAGACCGGCCTCTTGTGAATCCATGCTGAGTATCATTAATTAAGCTATGCTTATCGAGATGCTTCTTATAATTCAGCTATAATTGACTCTAGTAATTTGCCTACAATTGAGGTCAGGCTTATTGGGCGGTAATTTGACGGTAACGACTTGTCCCCTGTTTAAAAATAGGATTACATTAGCCATCTTCCACATATCAGACACTACACCTGTTTGAAGAGATAAATTAAAATATTAGTTAATGGTTCACAGACTTCCATTTTGCATTCCTTTAGAACCCTTGAAAAAAACCTCATCAGGACCGGTGACTTATTTTGCTTCAGTCGGTCTATCTGCTTCACAACCATTTCACTAGTGACTGTGATGTTACATAATTTATCTTCTTCTGATCCACTATAAAAATTAATTACCTCTACTTGTACTACACCTCACTCAAAGCTTATATATACCCTCTGTGTCCATGTGTTGTTTGTATCAGCTTGACAAAGTTCCTGGAAAGTGAAACGTTGCCCTTCTCTACTTTGTATTGGACTGAAGAAGCCATTGTGTGGCGAAACGTTTCCTTAATAAAGATTCCCATATGTTGCATATGTGTCTCAATCTTCAACTTGTCAGTTTTCAAACCATTTATCACAGTAGTGAATGTATATGCCACTGTACATAGGCTTGTGCTACACGGAAAAACCAAAACCTGTATCTGAGAGGTGGATATTAACATCAAGGAAAGGAAGCAAGGAATTAGATTCCCACTGAAGATTGAGACACTTATACAACATAAGAACATAAGAAAAGAGGAACACTGCAGCAGGCCTGTTGGCCCACTTTGTATTGTACTGATGAAGCCACACAGTGGCTAGAGTCTTCAGGACAAAGAGCAAAGATGTCATCTACATACACAACTTTCCTTGTATGAGTGAATATCAAAATGGTATACAATACCGACAGGTTGGTAGATAAGACACATAGGTAACAGTTAGGTAACTTTATTCCGAAACGTTTTGCCTACACAGTAGGCTTCTTCAGTTCTTCAGTCGAGTACAGAAATTAGGCAGGAGTAGTAGAGATGTGTAGACTATGTAATCAGTCCATCACCCTTGAAGTCGTAGATTTGAGGTTGTCAGTCCCTCAGCCTGGAGATGTTCTGTTCCATAGTCTGGAACTATCTGTTGCCTATGTGTCTTACCTACCTTTCTTTGTATGAATCTTAGTCCTGGCTTCGTCTCTGTAGATGCCTTCCTTTCCCATTACATTGTAAAATGCTCCACACTTCAGAACACCCGTGACTTAACCTGTTTCTTTTTTCCTCCTTCTCCTTTCCTCTTTCTCCTTTGGGTTTTCTTTCTTCTGCCTTGGGTATTTGGTCCATTATTATTTCCCCCACTCCCTCTGTGTTTTTGTTCCTGCCTTTTGTGGGCCCCTAGCTCCCTTGTGGGCCCCTAGCTCCCTTGTGGGCCCCTAGCTCCCTTGCAGTGCTCCTCTTTCTTAGTATTTGACTCGCTCCACTATACTACTACCTCTACGACTACCTCTCTTCCTCTTTTCCTACTACCTCTCTTGTCCCGTCCCTGTCTGTTGGCCTATATATACTACCTTCCCCTCTGCTTTCTGTTAACGTTCGTTCGTTCGTGCTTTCTGTTAGTGAGACTTTGTAAATGGTCGAAGTCGGACTGAAACGTCGTCGTGAGCTCCTCTCTCCTGTGTGCGGGTTATTAGTGTATTGCTCCAGTCACGGTATTGTGCCTTTTTGTTATTTATTGATATCCATTTTAAATATGCCTTGTTACCAATTCTTGTGGAGTAAAGCCTATAGGGCCAGGAGTCTTACCAAATAATATGGTACACATTAGTATTACATCCATAATGACCATTATGATTATTTTTTCCAATTAATTGGAAAGTAGGCATAATTTTTTCTGCTTTGCTCTCATTCTGGTTAGAGTCTGAGTTAAATATCCAAATTAGGTTCTATTGAAAAAATTAATGCAATCATGAAACAACAGTTATTAATGGTTAGTCTTAATTTCATCTGAACTTAACCCACTTGTTTCCTTTCCTAACTTCATTTCATCCTCAGTAGGATAATAAAATTGGCACCATTTATTTCTTTGTCACCATTAAAAATTACCGAATATTCAGTAGAACCAAAACGGTGAACCTGGCATTCTTTTTTCAGATCATTGATATAATATCATGCCTCAAGGAATGTATAAATCGAAGAGGCCTCCTGGATGTCAACAATGGCAGGCAAAAAATGAAAAAGTTCAGCTAATGCGAAAAATGGCTGAGTCTATGGTTCAGTATCTCAGTGTTATTTTACTGATAACACTGATGTCTATTCTGACTCCGTCAATGATAATATAAGCGAGAGTAATGAAGGGAATAAGAGTCTGCGAGAGTTAGCATCGATGTGTGACGTTCTTCCTGGAAAATTCCAATTCCAGACTATTCCAGGATTGAAATCATCAAAAGAGGTAGTTATGTTTATCAGAACAAGGATGGCCCTTTTCGTGTTACAAAGAGAAAAAATGCAAAAGGCGATGAGCGTCAGCTTTCTAAAGAATGGTTCTACAAACAGATGCAGAATTGTGAGAAAGATTTGCGATCATGGATGGTATACTCGCCAGTCAGTGGGAAATTATACTGTTACTGCTGTAGATTGTTTACCTCTAGTGTTACAAGTATAACATCAAAGTTTGTGACTGGGTATCAAATATGGTGGAAGCTGAACCCAAAAGTACACAATCATGAAACTTCTGATGAGCACCTACGTTGCCTCGAGAATTGGAAAACCATGGCAACCGGTTTAAGGGTGAACAAAACCATTGATGCAGAAATAATCGTTTCAATGGAAATCCAGAAGAAAAGGTGGAGGGAAATATTGTACAGGTTACTCGAGATTACACTGTTTCTGGCTAAACAGAACTTAGCATTTCGCGGCCACAGGGAGGACGAATTCTCATCAAATAGAGGAAACTTCTTGAGATGGTTGAATTAATAGCTAAGTATGATCCTCTGATAAAAGAGCACCTAATGAGACTGAAGTGCAGCTCAAGTGAACACAGGTCATCAGTTTCGTATCTCTCGCCATCAACTCAAAATGAGTTTTTAAGTGTTCTGGTAAATCGAGTCAAAGAGAAACTCGTTACTGATATCAAGAGAGCTGTATACTACAGCGTTATGTTTGACAGTACACCAGATGTGACACACACTGACCAAATGTCAGAAGTTATCAGGTACTTGCAAATGGAGGATGGAAGAGTTCAAGTGAAGGAAGTTTTTCTTGTTTTTTTTCCTTTGAATGGCAAAAAAGCTGCTGATATCAGTTCTGATTTCCTGAAAAAGCTGGAAAGTGATGGACTGGACTTCATGCTGTGCCGTGCTCAGGGATATGACAATGCTGCCACCATGACCGGGGTCCATGGAGGTGAACAAGCCATTCTTAAAGAAAAGAACAAGAAGGCAATTTTCAGTGGTTGTGTGGACCATTCATTGAACTTGTGTGGTCAGCATTCTTTTGCCGAGAATTCATCATGTGTAAAATTTGTTGGTAGTCTTGAGTCAGCGTATACATTCTTTGCCTCCTCCACCCATCGATGGGATGTATTAATGGACCATACTGTAGTCTCTTTGGAAAGATTATCAACAACAAGATGGAGTTCTCATTACAATGCAGTGAAACCAGTAGCTGAATCTTTCGAGAAATTTGTGGCAGTGACTGAAGCTCTTTGCGATCCACGGGAAAATTTGGATACAAGAGGAGCAGCACAAGGTCTTCTCCCTGCTTCATTCATTCATTAGGGATTTGCCGATACTTCCGGTCCGGGTCTTCTCCAGATGGTGACCCGGCGGTGGCCCCCGGGTGGGGGGTGTCGTTCATCTTCTTCTTTCTTCTGTCTTCTTTCTTGGGCTCTCCGGGTGGAGGGTTTCTCCCTGCTGTGTGTGATTTCACATTTGTGTGTTATCTGTATTTCTGGTGTGACATACTTCGGGAGGTTCAGCTTGCACAGCAGTACTTGCAGACTAAGGATTTAACTCTTGACAAAGTGGTGGTGAAGTTAGACGCACTACGATTATTTTTGAATGAAGGGCGAGATCGCATAGTGGAAAGTTCAATACAACAGCACTTTCGAAATGTGAGAAGTATGGATTTCCAACAGAGAGAAGAATCAGGTTAAAGAAAAGGATGGCAGGGGAGCAGGCAAGAGATTCCGGACTCACTCTACAGGAAGAAAACAAGATGGCGATGTTGGAGTGCATTGATCGTTTTCATAATGAACTCGAGATACGATCAAAAGCAATAAAGGACGTGGCAGCCATGTTTGTGGTCATTCAAAGAATCTTGTACAAGCTACTGAAGAAGAATTGAAGGTGATGGCTTGAAGACTCACAGTCTTCTATAATGAAATATGCAAGAATGAGCTCATGCTTGAAATACCAAGACTAAGGAGACACCTGCAAGCTGCTGATGTTGATCTTGAAAAAGTTAAGCACTGGACTGCACTGGATGTACTAACATTCATAGTTGAATGGTATTTCATTGAATTTCTTCCAACTTGACACTGCGCTGAGGTTGTTCCTTACTATACGTGTTTCTGTGGCTTCTTGTGAAAGGAGTTTCTCCAATTTGAAGCTGATTAAAAACTATTTACGGTCCACAAAGAGTCGAACCAGAATCTCTGACATATCAATGTTATCCATAGAAAATGGGTCAGTTGACAGCATTGATTTTGATGAGGTGATAGATGATTTTGCAGGATTGAAGGCAAGGAAATGTAAGATCTGATTCACTGAGATGTTACCTGTACTCAAGGTCAAATCGGAACTAGTGTTTCTTTGATATTGCAATGTTTTTCTTTATTTTCTAAGTTTTTTTTTTGGCATTGTTGAAGAATAATAAATGTAGGATGTGTTAGCTGCACTTAAAGTGATATTTGAGTTTGTTTCCTCAGTATTGCTACGATTATTTATTTTATCATTAATAAAGTCACTGGTCATGCAGTAGTGACGTAACTGGAGTTTACTCCTCCCATCCCCCCGACCTTGGATTTCATGGGGGTGACACCAAAGATGCCGCCCTGGGGGACACCAACCCTAGCAACGCCTCTGCTAATGTCACTAATATTTGGAACGCTGATTCTAAATGTAATATCGCTTTTTCTCAATAACGTAATTTTAATTAAAAGGTAAATATTTTAAGTTTTTATTTTTCGCCTGTAAACTTTATTGACTTCCTGGCAATGGATAGGTATGAGGAGCCTAATAAATCTAAATGACTCGTCTCAAAATAGCAATTTTTGTATGTACAACACACGCTTCCACACACAAAAACATACATACACATACACATCACATGCACACACACACACACATACACACACGCGCGCGCGCGCACGCAAACACGCAAACAGACGCAAACACACACAAATATACACGCACACACAAACGCTGGCACACAAAAATGTACACACATGCAGCACACACACAACACACACACACAACACACACACACACACACACACACACACACTACACATAATCAGCGAAGAGGCGGGGCCAGCAGCTGTGACTCGACCCCTGCAACCACAATCTTTATATTGTCAAGTACTGTAATATATTAATCGTAGTATATTTTACACCATTAATGTTATGGAACACTAAATTATATTTAATTTTTTTTTATATTTTATTTAAAAAACCAATCATTTTTAACAAAAATAAAGAACGTATGGATCTCAATCAAATTAAAAAAAAAACGCTTGCCCTACTCGGGCAAAATTTGCCAAACATAAACAAAATTTTACGGCAACAACATAGCTAAAAAAAAAAAAATACTTGTCACGGGGTCATAAATTTTGCATATATAACATTCTTGAGAAAAAACCCTTGCATAAATAAATTTTTACATATAACATGACATCTACAAAGGCTCAACACATTTGAAATAAAATATAAGAGAAGTTATATCGTTAAACCCCATTTTTCGCTTTAAATCAAAACCAAAAACCAAACATCATAATCAACTGAAATTAAAACTATCCCAAAAATACACTGTACATATCCAACAACGAAAAAACAGAAAAAAATACAGCTTAGAACCAAAAACTGAAGCCAAAATTGTTAAAAAAAAACCCAATACAATCTCAGACAAAAATGGCTACGTCACAAACTGTCTTCGATATGTCTGTATCCCATAAGCTAAAATTTAACCAAAACTTAGCTTTAAACCCCAAAACCCGATTCAGGGTACAACCATAATTAAAATTTAAAAAGAATCGAATCAACATATATAAAGTATTACATAACCTTTTGACCCATTACAAAGGCCAATACAAAGAAAGGGATATAAAATATATATATATAATATAAAAATTAAAAATAAATATATATATATATATATAATATAATTATATTAAATATATATTTTAAACACAAAACACAAAACCCCCACACAAAAAATTTCACAAAATCACATTAACAGATCCTGTATGCACAAAGCAAACAGTTATAAATATCCATATGCAAAAACCCGAGTAACTAAATACAAACAAAAACACTCAGTCGCAAAGAACTTATTACTCAAAAAATCGTGCCATACAATACTGATCCACATCAAATTTACATAAAAAATCTACTAATTTCCCTACTTCTGAAAAGGTTATATCTAACTAACAAACCCTGAGTCTACATCCAACTTGGCTGCCATAAATTTCCCCCAACAACCGGGAAAAACCATTCCAAACCCCATACACAACACTTGCCCCCACCCCCCCAAAGGAGCGACCCGCTGGACCCCCTGACTCCCCCAACCTAAAAAAACCCCCTTTCTTTCACTCATTACAATCACAGATTTAGAGAATCCCTAACTTAGCATTCATACCCCTCTGAAAAAATCCTGACCCCACCCCTCCCATACAAATCTCTGTTACGCACATTACGTAGAATTTTCCGCAAAAACCCTTTCCCTTTCTCCCCATTTCCCCCCTCCCCCCTCATCACCTACGACATAAAAATATATTTTTTTAATAAAAAATAAATAAATAAAATTTTTATAATATAATTTTTATTTATAATATATATAATCTACCATATAAATCTAAAGCTCTTATGACCCCCCGTCAAAACCCCCCATATCTAATTTAAATAAAGACGCAAAACCGACACCCACGACCCCCCCCCCCTCTGTACCAACCTATTAACCAGCACCTCCCCCTCTGCCCTTCAAAAAATAAATAAGGAACCTGTCTATCTCCTCCACAGATACCACACCCCCACCCTCTAAACCCTGTCTGTTTTCTAATTCCCCAAAACGGAAGGATCCCATGCAGAAAACGAAACATTACCTCACCGCCCGAGGTTTAATTTCTTTTTTAAAAAAATCTAAACCAAAACTTTCCACGCAACAGGGGAACAAACCCTCAACTGGGAAACCCCCTACCAAAAGTAACCTACACAAACCCTTATAAAAACCCCTTTCTCATTTCCCTAACCAACATCCACCCCTCAAAGTTTCGCCCCCCCTAAACTCCTTTCCTCGATCCCACAACCCCACCTGCGTGTACCCCTTCCCCAACTCCCCCCGGTTCACACCCTCACGCAACCTTCCCTTTTAATAAACACACTTTACCCTCCGCCCAAAAATCCACCCCCCCAACCCACCCGATTTTGGGGTAACATTACAACTTCCCTCCGAACCCAACACAACGTGAACCCCAAAATTTGTAACCCTCTTAGAATCCCGAAAATCGCGCCCTGAATTGGGAACACAGCTGCAACTTTCCAAATCTACAACAAAAAAGTTTACGTTTTGACCCTGTTAAGATTGGGTGCGGGGGGTTCCAGAACCCCTAGACCCCCACGATTTTTCCCAAAACCTACCGAGTTTTCCCCCGCCCGAACCATGTCATCCTTAGAAATTACCACAAATCTTATACACCTCCCATTCTTTAACAACATTTCATCTCCCCCCTACCCCCCCACCCAAAACCCTCCCCATCACCTTCTTTGCCTATTTACTGCATACCCGGGGACTTCCCAAAAAATTGCACAATTTCGTCCCCCCTCCCTTGACATCCCTCACGAATGGAACAGGGTCGTCAACATACCAATTAAACCCGGCCAGGCATCCCCCCCCCCACACTTTCCCCCACAGGCGACATAACTCGGGTCACCTTCTATAAAAGGGTCCGGAAACACCAAACAATAGTTGGGACATGGGGCCCCCTGTCAAGGCCCCTTTCCCATTGCAAAAAACCCTCCCCATACACCCATTTTCTGATTCCTCATTTTCGCCCCCCCGTATAAAAATTTACCCATTGACTATTTCCTCCCCAAAACCCTGTCTCCAAGTAAACCCGCAAAGCTCCCCTTTCCACTCAATCATATGCTCCCTGCCAATCTAAGCCAACAAAGCCCCCCCTCCACCCCCCCCCTTACTTTCCCAAAATTTTGTATCCCATGTCCTTCAAACTCGACTTCCCCAACCCAAAAATAGATTTTGACAGCCCTTCCCACAACACTTTTTAAAAATTACCCAAAATTTTTGCGAAAAATTGTAGTCTGCCCATCTGTAGGCCGTACTCCCGAAAAGGGGGGCTGCCCCCTTTACCCGGACCAACACTACAAAATGTGTTTCCTTTCCCTTTTTTCCCCCCCTTAAAACCCCTTTTCCCTTATCGATTAAATAACCTAACTATAAACCCCTTATTAACGCCAATTTTGTAATAAAATTCACTGGGAAACGCAAAACCCGGGGGCCTTTCCCCTTCCCCAATTCCCCCTTTAACGCATTCTTACCTCTGCCGTAATTCCCACCTAAACCCTTTTTTCATATTTCCTAAATTCCGTCACATAGTACACACCTTGCCAACGCCACTCCCCCCCCCCCCCCTGTCCAATTCCAAACCAACCTCCGCATAGCACACATCCCCTTCGTGGTTCGTTTCCTCCCCGCTCTTAATTTCCCCAAACCCTCTCCGTTACCTCTAAAAAAGGGAAACTTCACCCCCTGCCCTTTTCTTTTGATCCGCAAACACCCTGACGGCTTTTCTCCCCCAAAACATTCTTCCACCCCTGCCTGCACCCCCTTCAGCTTAAACCTTTCATTTTGCAAAAAACCCCCAAACCTCCCTTAATTTTAGCTATTTCTCCAAAAAGGAAAATTATTTTCCCCCCCCCCCCGCCCATGCAACCCCTTAACCCATCCCCTAAATATTGCCCGTCCCATTTTAAATTATTAATACGTTTTTCCTTTTCTCACTAAAACTTCAATCCTTTCCTTTCAACACTATCCCCCCAGTCACATTGTCATCCACTCCCTTTCTTCCACACTAAGCTCCCCCCAAGGACTGAAAACCCCCCCAACCCCCTCCTCACACCTAACACATTTTATTTAATTTCAAAAACTTCTAAATATGCCGGAGGGCCCCCCCCCAACCTCCAACCACTGCCCCATGAGACATGTAAACCCAAAAGTACTGAAAGATTTTACATACACTCCCGAGAAAGGGACACCTATTTGTCCGCAGCATATCCACTCCAACAAA